TTAAGCCAATGTCCCTTGTTTGTATCCGATACAGCTTCGTTGAAAGTTCTTGGATCACATCCTTGGTCAACTTCATCAACGAGGAATAACCTATCGGGCGCTCTCCGAACTCTTTCGGATCTACGCACCGACGGTTCAGGAGGTATATTAGTGGTTTGTTGAATTGGTTCATTATCTGATTGTTGTGCTTGAACTTCAGATTGTGGTTCTCGAACTTCTTCGAGATCAACTACACTGCCCTTTCTATCCGATAGAAATTCCTTTTCAAGGAACACGGCATTTCTCGAGACGAACACCTTTGCCTCGGAAACATAGTAGAATTCGTATCCCATGGAATTCTCGGGATACCCCACAAAATAGTATAAGTCGGATTTTCTATCCAACTTATCTCCCACTAGCCGCTTCACGTAAGCGGGACAACCCCATATCCTAATATGTTTAAACGTGGGTTTCCTGGAGTGCCAAAGTTCATAAGGTGTGGATTTAACTGCTTTGGTATTAACCCTATTCAGCAAATACACGGCAGTTAGGAGTGCATGACCCCACAGGTATGCCGGTAGCTCGGCGAACCCCATCATAGATCGAACCATGTCTAACAGTGTTCGATTCCGACGTTCGGAAACTCCATTAAGTTGAGGAGTTCCAGGAGGAGTCCATTGAGACAGAATCCCATTCTCTTTAAGATAGTCTATAAACTCAGTATTTAAGTATTCGCCACCACGATCGGATCGTAGTTTCTTAATATGTCTACCGAGTTGGTTTTCTACTTGGTGTTTAAAATCTTTGAACTTTTCCAAAGTTTCAGACTTATACTTCATTAAGTACACGAAACCATACCTCGAATAATCGTCGGTAAAGGTAACGAAGTAGTTAAAACCACCCCTAGCACTAACGCTTAGTGGACCACACACGTCTGAATGGATCAAATCCAAAAGACCCTCGGCTCATTCCATCTTCCCTTTGAAGGGAGTTTTGGTCATTTTTCCTTTAAGGCAGGATATACAAGTTTGAAGTGATTTCACGTCCTCCAAGGAGAACAATCCTTCACTTACAAATTCGTTCATCCTTCTCAAGGAAATATGACCCACTCGAGCGTGCCAAAGTTGTGCGGGGTTAAGACTTATATCTTTTCGTTTTGCTGATATAACGTTAATTGGTATTTCACTTGGATTTAGTTCATATAAGTTGTTTATAAGTTGTCCCTTACAAATCATATTTTGATCCTTTTGTATAATGCAAATCGAATTTCCAAAAACAAAAGTAAAACCTTCATTATCCAAAACAAGAATAGAAATAAGGTTTCGAATAAGTGACGGACAAATAAACAATTGTTCAACACAATGGAAAAACTAGAATCCAAAACAGAAAGATAAATCATCCCAATGGCTTCAGCAGCAACCCTTGCTCCGTTGCCCATTCTTAGGTAGGTCTCACCCACATTAAGCCTCCTACTTCTTGTCATGAGCTGCAAATCATTACAAAGATGTGAGCCACAACCAGTATCCAATACCCAAGAAGAAGATTTAACGGACAAATTAACTTCAACTAAATACGTACCCTTTTCAGAACGTTTCTGATCGAGGTAAGCCTTGCAGTTGCGTCGCCAATGGCCCTTCTTTCCACAATGATGGCAAGCGTCATCAACTTGCTTGGTGACCTTGTCCTTCTTCTCTCCGCTCGACTCGCCCTTCTCAAGTTTCTTGCTCGGGCCGAAACTCCTTTCTTTCCTTTTCTTCTGGAAAGAACCTTTCTTCGCAGAAGGAGCAACTAGGAGAACAGATTTCTCCTTCTTGATCGTGGACTCATAGCTGACCAACATGTCAACAACTCATCCAATGGTGGATCGAGCTTGTTCATGTTGAAGTTCACTATGAACGATTCATAAGAACTAGGAAGGGACAGTAGGATCAAATCCACCGAGAGCTCGGCCGGGAGGGTGACATCAAGGCTCACCAACTTCTCAAGGAGAGTGATCATCTTGAGACCGTGCTCGTGGACCGAAGCCCCTTCACGCAGCCTCATGGTGATCAACTCCTTGGTAGCTGAGTACCTCGATGCCCTAGTATTCTCACAGTACATGCTTTCAAGATGATGCTTGATATCATAAGCATGCACGTGAGACTCATACTTCCTCGCGAGCTCTGGCACCATGGATGCTAGCATGTAGCACCTCGCATGGAGGTCGTCCTTCTTCCATGCCTCGAAAGTTGCAGTCTCGTCAGCAGTAGCAGTCGCAGGAAGAGCAGCGGGGGGACGTTCATTGAGCACATAGAGACGCTCCTCGACTTGGAGCACAAGTTTCAGATTGTGAAGCCAATCCAAATAGTTTGGACCGGTGAGTTTGTTTTGGTCGAGGATAGAGGAAAGGGGATGTTTGGACATTGTTGCTGAGAAAATTTTAAGAAGACAATAATTAGAGTTTAGTTCGTAATAATCGTTACAATTAAAATTTTGGACTTTTATGTTTTAATTGTTCTCCCACTAATTTTATCGAATTCCACCACCCTCTAGCAGACAATCGAGAAAACTTATTTTTCTTTAATGGGCTTTAGGTCCAATAGCGCTAATGTAACCCGTAGTTAATCTATCCCGATTACATAAGCCTAAAGGTAGAGTACAATCAATCACATCACTATGTGACCCTAAAGTTCGATTTACCTCACACTTGATAATGACCTAAGTTAATCTAGCGAATATCAAAATCTCCGTGTGTCAAGTCTAGCCTACCAATATGAGATGTCATAGATCCAACTATATCAAACTAATGCAATCCCTAGTTAATCTAGCCGACCATATTAACCCAATATAATTTTATCTATGACCATGTCAATTAAATTACAGCTTATCCCACAATAGCACTCCCCGCTAACACGGCTTACTGCACTATTATGAGAGGCTACACATAATTTAATTGTTGGTAGAAGGAAAGAAAAATTCAACAATTTGGTTTTTCTTTATAGCTTGATAATTATTCTTGATTAAGAATGAGGGATTTTATTTATTAAATCTTATTAGCTCATCGGAAGTTTTAGGTTATGATCGTTTGTGATTCCTACAACTATGTTCTCTAGGTATGTGGAAACTTTGTATTGATCCTAAGAGAGACATACGATCATCATCGTACTTAATCACAATCATTCATCTCATGAATTAATTAATTAATACGATTAATTGCAAATATAATTAACGGACTCCCTTCATTCATAAATCAATCAAATAAGAATGAAGTCCATTAATTATTTGCCATTTAATTTGTGTTCCATTAATTAAACTAATTTAACGATTAAATTAAATAATTAATCCAACACTATTCTTTGAATTCAAATTAAATTAATGGATCAATTATCTAATTGGGTTTAATTGATAAATAATTTCAAAAATTAAAAATCAATTAATTTTAATATTAATATCAGAAAATCAATATAATTTTTTTTTTTATTTTGTGTGTGTGCTGACCGGACCGGTCAGACCGGTCCGACCGGACCGGTTCGGTAAGCTGAAAAACAGCAGAAAAAATTATGATATCATTTTACTTAGCTATGTCGCCTAACGTTCAATATCCCCTTGATTTTGTTTTTAATTATTACACTGACTTAGTGTTTCTAATTTAAACCGTTTAATACATTTTCAGAAAGAGGATGTGCACCATTCAATTATATCTGACCTTCACAATGGGAATTCAGAGACCAGAAAGCGTCTTGTTGTCTATTGTTTGAAGGTGAATCATATTCATCAGCTTAAGTATATCTGGACTATATTTCTTGTGACATGTAGGCTCTTATGCGTCTCATTTTATTTTATCGTTCACAACATAAAATTTAATTAGTATGTGCATTTGTATGCTTAGAGCGTTTCCCTATTGTGGTAATTTTATTTTCCTCCTGGTTTTTGCATTTCCAGTTCCCTCCTTGTAGCAAATGCCCTTATTCATTATACTTAGACTGTCAAAGAAAAGGTTTAGATGCCATGTCTATAAAACACCTCCTTCCACTATATTAACTGTCCTCCTCGCACTCAAAATAAACAAAAACGCATGTATAAGTTAGGATATTGAGATTGAATTGTAGGGATGTAGATTGTATTTTCTCTCCAGGTATGCTAGATCTATTATCAAAGGACAACCTGCAATTTCTCCATTTACAAGTTTTACCAATTGTATGAGCATCAGGTCATAGGAACTCCACAAGCTTTCGACATTAGGTCTATCACTGGTTCATGCATTGATATTATACTACTAAATGCATTATACGAGCATTGATGTGATGTCTCATTCACAATCACAACAACAAATATTCAATAAAGAATATTAGTCCGACAAACAATACCACCTTATTGATAGATGCTATTGTTTTTTGTCCGAGCATCGATCAAGTACGAGCATCATTGAACCTAGTATAAGCATCTTCATGTCTTAGGAATTTTGTGTTTCAACATGTTTAAATAAGAAATGTTAGTCTTACTGGGAAAACTCGGTTTCATTGTTAAATTATTGCAGAATGCGTACCTACCACAACGCCTTTTGGACAAATTGATGTTCATTTATAACTATGTTGAGATGGCTCGTGTGACTAGTGTTCCGCTCTCATTTATACTCTCGAGGGGACAAAGCATCAAGGTTGCTCCTTAGCTTTACAGCTAGAGTAGTTAAAAGGAGTAGATCGGAAGATTATCAACTGCATATATAATTCTTACCTTTATCTTCAGGTGATGTCTCAGCTTTTTAGGAAAGCAAAACAAAAGAATCTAATTATTCCAAATGTGAAACAAGCTGGATCTGAACAGGGAACTTTCGAGGGTGCAACTATAAGTGTTCATCTTTCGTACCCATTGTTTCTTTTCTGTCAACTGTATGTTGGTACTTGTATATGCAACACACACACACACACACACACACACACACACACACACATATAAATATATATATATATATATATATATATATATATATATATATATATATATATATATATATATATGCACACACATATATATATTAATTTCTTCCCTGTAAATGGGCTGTAGCACGTTGTTGGACAGGAAATAAAATGTTTTCTCTTATGCAGGTTCTTGAAGCCAGAACATGTTTCTATGAGAAACCTATTGCAACTCTGGATTTTGAATCTTTATATCCATCAATTATGATGGCATATAACTTGTGCTATTTTACAGTAGTAAAAGTATTTTCTTGTTAGTCTTTCATTTTTTTGTTGTCTTTGGCTATTCTGCGTGAAAGGTTATGTTAAATTTCAAGCATAAGAATTAAGGAAAAATCTAATTAGCCATCTCCCTTGAGACGGGTATTGTTTACTCCAATGTTATTTACTATTTTGTCATTATTATTGCGTAGGTAAATCCCGAAGATGCCCGGAAGCTTAATTTGCCCCCGGAGTGTGTCAACAAAACTCCAACTGGTGAAACTTTTGTCAGATCAAATTTAAAAAAGGTTAAATTTATAGCATTCATGCAGGTTGTTTATTGTCATCTTTTTTGGTGTAGAAAAAGATGGGTCTAGTTATGCACAAGTTCCATTTTTGGCCTTCTCTTACTATTGTTTCACTTCAGGGAATACTACCAGAAATTCTCGAAGAACTTTTGGCAGCTCGTAGAAGGGCCAAAGCGGATTTGAAGGTTCTCAATTTAATTACTATAAATATATAAATACTTTTTTTTTTGTAAATTTCTATTCCTTTGAAATAAAGGTTCCGAAGTGTTGATCCTACTGCACCATTAAATTGTCTTTTGGATGTAAACTATCATGAAGATAAAGAACACTTATAAAACTTTGAAGATAAAGAACACTTATGTAACTGGTAACTAATAATGCACAAGATCATGTTCGTCTAGATGGAACTGTACATTAGACTGGTCAATGATTGTCAAAGTTTTCTTTATGGGATTAATTATTTCGTTTGGACTACGATATCTGGTGGATTTGTTCACAATGTCCAAAGTTTGAGTTTCGTCGTACTTAAATAGTAATGCAATCTATATTGAAATATAAATTTGTTACTCTGTGTTGAAGAAAAACTTCTAATAGTGTTTTACCTGTATGAATTTAAATTTTAGGAAGCAAAGGATCCTCTTGAAAGAGCTGTGTTAGATGGTAGGCAACTTGCTTTGAAGGTAAGGATTATCATTTTTATCCTTTTTATTTTGTATTTTTATTTTATATGATTGTATGCCGACTACTGTATTTGGCTTGATGTTAACTAACTTGACTTGTTGGATTATCTGTTTTCTCATGGTTCTTACAGATATCTGCAAATTCCGTCTATGGGTTTACTGGAGCTACGGTTGGCCAGTTACCTTGTTTAGAGATATCTTCAAGTGTTACCAGCTATGGTAATCAAATGGCTGCATGACTTGAACTTTGTTACCCAATAAATAAATTTGATGCGATTCTGCAAATGTCATTTATTTTAATGATTAATCCATATTTGAAGGTCGACAAATGATTGAACACACGAAAAGACTCGTGGAAGATAAATTCACAGTGCTCGGAGGTTACGAGCACAATGCTGAGGTATACTACCAATAACTAGTCTCTTGACGAGGCATTTAATTGCTTGATGAAACATGCTATATTGAAACAGGCACATGCTATAATGTTATACTCTGTGCATCAATTTTTTATTCTTTTATTATTTCCCCGCAGTATGTTTTTTATTACTTCCTCGTAGCATGTATCCTTTAGGTCATGATAGTTTTGTAATTACTTATATTTTTATGTCAGGTCATATACAGAGATACAGATTCAGTAATGGTGCAGTTTGGTGTTTCCTCGATGGATGCGGCCAAGAAATTGGGCAGGGAAGCTGCTGATTATATTAGCAGCACCTTCATCAATGTAAGTTGTTATGCTCCCTTTTCCGTATTCCGTGTCAATCTTGTTACTTAATTTTCATGTATTTATACTTCCTCCATATTTGTAAATCCCCCATCCACCCTTTTGCCCCTCGCCGCATTCTTCTTCCCTTAATCTCATTATTTCTTGTGCACATTACCATAGCCATCTTCCGTTGGCAGCCCATAAAACTGGAGTTTGAGAAGGTCTATTATCCATATCTACTAATTAGTAAGAAGAGGTATGCTGGTCTTTACTGGACGAACCCGCAGAAATTTGATAAGATGGAGACCAAAGGTGAGTCAAGCTGCACGTTTACTTCTGTCTTGAAATTTAGCGAAACAATTAAATATTTCACCACACCTTTGGTACCAAAAACTTATTTAAATATTCACGTAATTAGTAAACTATTTCATGTTACGATAACCAAAATAATGACTTTCCTTTTCTAGATATTGGTTTCTCCGAATAATTATAGGATTACGGTCTAGGATGTACTTTGACGCAGTAGTTTATTTTTCATTTGCCAGGGATTGAAACTGTTCGTAGGGATAACTGTCTGCTGGTAAAAAACATGGTGACGGAGTGCCTCGATTAAATATTGATGGAGAGGGATATTCCTGCTGCGGTTCAATATGTCAAGAACATGATATCAGATCTCCTTAGGAATCGCATGGATTTATCCCTTTTAGTAATCACCAAGGTATCATAAATACACTCATGCAATACTTGGACATTTTCCTCTGCTTTCCAAGGGCTAAATGTGCCATGCACGTTTGGTAGTTCCAATTGACATCTTCGCATCTTGCACTGACATTCCATTTCAATAGGCTTTGACAAAAACACGGGACAGCTATAAAGTGAAAGCAACACATGTTGAGCTTGCAGAACGGATGCGCAAGGTTCGAAATGTATCATTAGTTCGATTAATTTTTTCACTACCACGATGACTAATAAAAGCAACTTCGTAGTTCATCGGAGAACACTTCAAATTCTGTGAATCTGAATAGCAACAATATTCTTTGAATTCAAATTAAATTAATGGATCAATTCTCTAATTGGGTTTAATTGATAAATAATTTCAAAAATTAAAAATCAATTAATTTTAATATTAATATCAGAAAATCAATAAAAAAATATTTTTTTTTTGTATGTGCTGACCTGACCGATCAGACAGGTCCGACCGGACCGGTTCGGTCAGCCGAAAAACAGCAGAAAAAATCGAGTTTTAAAATTAAAAATTTTATATTTTCTGAAATATTCAAAATATTTAATTAATATTAAACCACCCAATTTTATAACACCAATAATTCAACAATTCAACAAATCGAAGCATGCTTTCGAAAGCGATAAACACGTTGATAAATAAACGATTAACCCGTGGCTCTGTTACCACTGTTGGGGATCGTGCATGTATACGTAGCGGAATTTAAAAATATTAGATCAAACTAGTTTCGGTTACATGCATAAACTAATCATATAGCCAACGTACCTTAACGCTTCCGCCATACACATGGTAATTATCGATTTTATTAAAACATGTAAAACCGAAAAGAATTATAAAACATGCTTGTTCATCATATTGCAAAATCGAAACACGTAATCACATATTACTCATGCTCGTAAATTAAAATTCACACAAACCATGTTCGAATCAAATTTACGAAAGTTCCGATTTAATTACCTCTTGTAGCGTGAGATTTTGACGAATCGAAACCTAGAACCGAACACGTACAAGCTGCGAATTACCAATCCTCGGGGCAGCAACTCACGGCTGGAGCAAGCTGGTCCAACAGGTGGCGGACGGCGGCGCGTGGCAGACGCGGTGGCGGCGCGTGCTGTGTAACGGCGGCGCGTGCGACTTCGGCGGCGGGGCACCGACGTTCCTCTCCTCCAATCAGGTTTCACCTCGTATATTTTGACCCACTCGAACTACAGCACTAGATGTAAACGAGTTAGATAAACAACAAAGAATAAACGAAGGAGTAGAGAGGAGAAAACCGGCGACAAGCGGCGGTGATCGGCGGCGGCGCGGCGGGGCAGTAGCGGCCGAGAGGGCTGAGCGGCTAGGGTTTTGGGGTGTAAAAAAATCTGATCTCAAACTCTTGTTTGAGGTCTATTTATACTAGGGTTTTCAACCCTTGTGGGTTTAAGTCATTGGGCTTGACCCACTGATGCATTAAGCCCATTCCCTCATCGGCCTCGTTTCTACAAACGATCGTTCACAAAAAATATATTTGTGACGAGCTCAAAGTCCTCGTCGATACGAGTGCCTCTTCGAAATTTCCAACTTCCAAAATTGGAAACTTCCACTTCAGTGGACCTGCTAAATCGGGAAACTTCCCAATTTAGAAAGTTCACTAAATTCCGCATGTCTCTCTTTCTCTACGTTTATTCCGATTCGCAATCTACAATTACGAATCTTGGATTCAATCATATCGACATCCAATCGTTCAAAGATTAACATATTAATCTATGCTTGTTGTTATCAAGGATCTATATTACACGAGAAGTGTGACCCTCAATGGTTCAGGTGTATGCTAGCCGTGGGCTCACAACTCTTTGTGATTCGAACAACACATTGTTCTTATACGAACTCCTCCCAAGAGTCCCGATTAGAGTAAACCTCATTTTACCTAATCCCCGATCAAATCGGTGCCCAACGAATCAAGATTGGCGTCTAGAACCTACGCATCATGATTCCCTAGATACAAGTGAAGTGCCTGCAAGAACCTTATGATATAGTTAGCGTACAGTACGATCCCTTCGCAGCACATGTCCCGGTTGAATTAGAGGCATTCGTTCACCGAGACCTCTTATAAAGTTCAATAACCGTGCGAACGTTCTAAGTATTATAAATCCGTTCGTGTGTGACTTAGGGAAACACATTTCCCTAATCACCCCACTATCAACTCTGGCCAGAGATTCCTTGGATTATAAACCGTCAGAACACACAGGACATCCATGACTACTCAAGCGCTCGAATCCCCTACTACAATGCACAGACTTCACACTAGATTTCGGATTGCACGAACATTGGCCCTTGGAGTGGTCCGCTGTGGGACTCAGGGATAGGTCACGATACAATCGGTCCTCTAGTGAAGTCACGGTGATGTCTGGGTCTTAAGGACTAATGGTGTACAACAATATCTTAGAAACCTATTACTCGATGAATGAGAACCACTTATAGATTTCTAGGGCGAGGGAGTTCAGTGAACTCATCCAGTATGAGCACCCACTCAAGTATGCCGATGTCACAACATCGAGGACTGATGAGACGCAGTACACGTACACTAAGTGCTAGTCTCAAAAGGGAAAGGCCGGTATCCTCATTATTGGCGTAACCCATCGACTAGGAACAAGGTTTAACAGTTACATTACATTGCTGAGTTATCTCACGATTCTACTAGATCAACTCACAGTAATAGAGTAACTCGTTAGGACTATATCTATGCTGCTTGCATGGGATAAGAGATATAGAATGCCAAATGAAATATTTTATTATTACGAACGAAAAACGATTGTTTTATTACAAGGAAAAAGAGAAAGACCACAGCCACAAGTTGGCTTGTTGGTCACCTACTCTAACAATCTCCCACTTGACCTAAAGCCAACTAATCATAAATCTAAGTCCCATCGACTCTCGATGTTTCTCGTGGACTGATCCTGATAATGGCTTGGTGAAGGGATCTGCAATATTTTCCTCCGAGGTGACTCTGTCTATTTTGACTTCACCTCTCTCTATGATCTCTCGGATCACACGGTATTTTCTCAACACGTGCTTTGACTTCTGATGAGCTCTTGGTTCCTTAGCTTGCGCTACGGCTCCGTTGTTGCCGCAGTACAGCTGTACTGGATCACTAGCGTTCGGAAATACACCCAACTCTTGGATGAATTTCCTAATCCATGACCCTTCCTTTGAAGCATCTGATGCTGCAATATATTCAGCCTCGGTGGTGGAATCAGCCGTCGTGCCTTGTTTGGAACTCTTCCAACACACGGCACCCCCGTTGACTTTGAATATATACCCCGAGTTTGACTTCGAGTCATCCACGTCCGATTGAAAACTAGAATCCGTGAAGCCCTCTAATTTCAACTCGGTATCCCCATAGACCAAAAACAAATCTCGAGTTCTTCGCAAGTACTTAAGAATGTCCTTCACAACCTTCCAATGGGCTGGGCCGGGGTCGGACTGATATCTGCTTGTGACGCTCACAGCATACGCAATATCAGGTCGTGTACACAGTATGCCATACATTATGCTTCCTATAGCGGATGCATAAGGTGTCCTTTTCATCTCCTCGATTTCCATTTGCGTTTGAGGACGCATGGATTTCGAGAGACGAACCCCATGGGACATTGGCAAGAATCCCTTCTTGGATTCTTCGATGCTAAACCGTTTAAGAACGGTGTCTATGTACATGGATTGGGACAAGCCAAGCAATCTCCTCGGTCTATCTCTATAGATCCGTATTCCTAATACGTAGGATGCTTCTCCCAAATCCTTCATCGAGAAACGTGTGGATAACCCTACTTTAGTCGACTGCAACATCCCTACATCATTCCCAATGAGTAGTATGTCATCAACATAAAGTACAAGAAAAGTCACTGCACTCCCACTAACCTTCTTGTAGACACAAGGTTTCTCCGGGTTTTTCACAAATTCAAACTCTTTGATAGTTGTGTCGAACCTTTTGTTCCAACTACGGGATGCTTGTTTCAATCCATAAATGGATCGCTGGAGTTTGCAAACATTTTGCTCATCTCCAGAAGATATGAAGCCTTCCGGCTGCGCCATGTAAATTTCTTCCTCAATGTCCCCATTAAGGAAAGCGGTCTTCACATCCATTTGCCATATCTCGTAGTCATACCACGCAGAGATGGCCAGCAAAATCCTAATGGACTTAAGCATAGCAACTGGAGAGAAGGTTTCCTCATAGTCAACTCCTTGCTTTTGAGTATAACCCTTCGCTACCAATCTAGTTTTGTAGGTCGATACCTTTCCATCTACTCCAATTTTCTTCTTATAGATCCACTTGTAGCCTATGGGAACAATTCCCTCGGGTGGATCTACCAAGGTCCATACCTTGTTGGAGTACATAGAGTCCATTTCGGATTTTATGGCATTAAGCCAATGTCCCTTGTCTGTATCCGATACAGCTTCGTTGAAAGTTCTAGGATCACATCCTTGGTCAACTTGATCAACGAGGAATAACCTATCGGGCGCTCTCCGAACTCTTTCGGATCTACGCAGCGACGGTTCAGGAGGTATATTAGTGGTTTGTTGAATAGGTTCATTATCTGATTGTTGTGCTTGAACTTCAGATTGTGGTTCTCGAACTTCTTCGAGATCAACTACACTGCCTTTTCTATCCGATAGAAATTCCTTCTCAAGGAACACGGCATTTCTTGAGACGAACACCTTTGCCTCGGAAACATATATAGTAGAATTCGTATCCCATGGAATCCTCGGGATACCCCACAAAATAGCATAGGTTGGATTTTCTATCCAACTTATCTCCCACTAGCCGCTTCACGTAAGCAGGACAACCCCATATCCTAATATGTTTAAACGTGGGTTTCTTGGAGTGCCAAAGTTCATAAGGTGTGGAGTTAACTACTTTGGTATTAACCCTATTCAGCAAATACACGGTAGTTAGGAGTGCATGACCCCACAGGTATGCCGGTAGTTCGGTGAACCCCATCATAGATCGAACCATGTCTAACAGTGTTCGATTCCGACGTTCGGAAACTCCATTAAGTTGAGGAGTTCCAGGAGGAGTCCATTGAGACAGAATCCCATTCTCTTTAGGATAGTCTATAAACTCAGTACTTAAGTATTCGCCACCACGATCGGATCGTAGTTTCTTAATACATCTACCGAGTTGGTTTTCTACTTGGTGTCTAAAATCTTTGAACTTTTCAAAAGTTTCAGACTTATACTTCATTAAGTACACGAAACCATACCTAGAATAATCTTCGGTAAAGGTAACGAAGTAGTTAAAACCACCCCTAGCACTAACGCTTAGTGGACCACACACGCCTGAATGGATCAAATCCA